TCTCTCCCCCCTCGAACCACGTGACAAACGTGTGTAACTCTCATGTCCCTGTTTCGGTTGCTAGGGGAGAGAGACGGTCCATGACAACGCTTTAGCAAACTCCACACTCCAGAGAAAGAGAGAGAGAGAAACGCGAGACAGCACTGAACGCACAACGTTGTAAAGACACAGACATCGAGTCGAGCGCTTCTGGAAACTTTAAACTGACGTCTCAGAGGATTTTGTCCGATTTAGGAGCACGCAAAGCGGAGTTACAGTTTGCTATCATAAGTTCGGTTCACACTGCCGCCGGCCAGGTCAAAGCGAGACCGGGATCCACAGACCGGGCAACCGGACAAGAGCTGTGTGTGTCGGCAGAGAGACGCTCAGCACCAGGGTTCACGCAAACAGACTGAAACGCTTAGTTTGTGACTGTAATGTGAGTCAATTAATGCTTTTAACAAACTATATACTTTAAAATAGTTAAATAATTTACTAATTAGCTTTGAAAACGGTACGTAATTAATATGCAAACATTGGCAGCTACTTTGACACTCATCTGTTAACTTTGAGTTTACATTACAGAGACAAAATTAAGCTTTCTTCCTGTTACAGTTATACTTATTTTTACAACTACTACTACTACTATTACTACTACTATTACTATTATTATTATTACTATTACTATTATTATTATAATCTGTTCTATAGCATGTAGTTTTATAAAGAGTATTTTAATTGAAGCAATCCACACAAACACTCAGAATATGGCTCCTTGCTGGTATCACTGCCGTGTTTGCTGACGTTGGCCCTCGTTGTACTCGGACTGAGGGGAAGCCGCCTGTAGTCAGAGCACCATGTGTCGCTGTGCTGGCTCTGTCACTGCCGGGTCAATCCTACTGAGTGAAACTGACACGGGGAGGGGGGGCCAGCCCCACAGACCGCCTCACCCTCTTACCCCGTCCTGAAACACACTCTCACGACACACACAGACAAGCGCCGGGCTAGCCGGCCAAGGGTATGGGCAACTCGTCCCGAAAAGAGGCCCAGGACGAAGGAGGAGAGGAAAAGGAGAAAAAGGTTAAAGAGAAAGGAGATGAAGGCGAGGAGGAGGAGGAAGCGGCTGAAAAAGAAGAAGAAGAAGAGGAGGTCGTGGAGGACGAGGAGCTGCCGCTAGGAGTCGACGAGCTCTTGGCGAGCGGAGATCCGGTGTTGGATCTGAGCTACTTCAAGTTCCGTCGCCTTCCTCGTCAAGTCCTAGATCTGGAGTACTTGGAGAAGCTCTACGTCTGTGGAAACCGTCTCCGCAGCGTTCCTAAGGGTATCACGCGGCTGCAGGGTTTGCGTACCCTGGCGCTCGACTTCAATAAGCTTGATGACGTTCCTCTCTCGGTGTGCCAGTTGACTAATCTCACGTGTCTTTACCTGGGAAGCAACCGGCTGATGAGCCTCCCACCGGAAGTGAGGAACCTGCAGAACTTACGTTGCCTCTGGGTGGAGAGCAACTACTTCCAGCGATTCCCCAAGCAGTTGTACGACCTTCCCAATTTGCGCTCACTGCAGATCGGGGACAACCGTCTGCGCACCCTTCCCTCGGACCTATGGCGCATGGAGTCCCTGAGAGGACTCTGGCTGTACGGTAACCGCTTTCAGGAGTTTCCGCGAGTGCTCCTCAAGATGGAGCAGCTGGAGATTCTGGACATGGACCGCAATCGGATATCAGAGTTTCCAAACTTGCATCATCTTCCCGGGCTGCGACTCTTCTCTTATGACCACAACCCTGTGAA